AATACAGTAGGTTTTATTTTTACCTTATAATGATGTCCATCTTCAATAAGCTCATGTATAAACAACGCATGTTCACAGTTATCCCAGGCAAGTTGAGACAATACAACCGAACCTGGTTCTGCCCATTTCTCTGCTGTGTTCGCGTCATCGATGGCTGGTCCTGACATATCGAACTGCTTGCTGTCGTACAGACCTACATAGGTGACATAGAACACTCCAACAGCAACAGCAGTTTTAACACGGAGCAGAACTCCTACATCAGTCATATAGTTGTCGCATTCTTCCTGAATAGAGAGGCTACACATGGTAGCACTGTTCACGAGAGGGGTGATACTCGAGGTGGTGTCCTCGATCCTCCAGATTGCAAACAATGCATCTCCTGTGATAAAATTGAATATTAATGAATTGTACACTCGAAAAACACTCTGGTTAAAAATTCCTAGAAATTTAACTGATTTGAAAATCATACCTGCAAACTTCAAAACGTCACCTCCATTTCTTAAAATACCTTTGAAAGTGAAAATCAGAACATCGTCATATAAGCTTGAAGAATGCATTCAAATATCAACGAAACATCCGTGCAATGGTGTATTCACTTACCTTCAACAATTTTTCCTAAGTAATTATTTAAGGTTGCACTCAGTTCATCCGTACCGCATGTTGAGAGATTGCTGTACTTTTCACAAAGAGATGTAAATCCTGTGGAAAATGGTTTGAAGAGAGAATAATTGACACATTAAATAGTGAGTTTGGCGTAGGTAATTAGTAAATTAGTTTGCTCAGCATTTCGTTAATAGTTAATTACCTTGTAAGTTAATAACTAAATAACCAAATGAGTGACGCAAGTTTAATTAATTAATAGGCTTATTAGTTAATTGCACTTTCTGGGGAATACAATTTCTTAGCAAAGCTTTTGACCCGTAAGCCCAGATCTTTATCAATGTCAAATAAATAGTTGTGTTGTTTTGCACAAAAACAGATTCAATTATAAGGACCTGATATACGGTCGTTAGCAAGTTTATGAATGGTCCAAGACTTTTTGAGTTCGAATTTCCAGGGGGTGTAATCGTCCGGCCACCGTGAGCATGCCCCCCGGAAAACATTTCTATGTTTAGGGTCTGCGAAAAGCTATTTCATGCATTTTAGATACGTTTCATGACAATCTGAAAGTCACAAATGTGGTATACTATATATGGGCGCTTTCCATTTGACGCAAATTCTGGAAATCGTGCTTGAAAATCAAATGGAACACGTTAATTTCTGGTATACTGTTTCGAAAAATGCGGACAATCTTTCGAGGTTGTCCACAAATTGGACATTCCGGAAGTTTCGAAATTTTTACATTCAAGCAAAAACCGCCACCAAAACCAAAATGGCGTGTTCTCGACCATTTCAGTGCCTCGAGTCTGCATTTATTTCGGCGAGTACTGAAAGAAGAGATTTGAGCGGCAGTGTCAAACTCTTCGAAATTAAAGAAACATCATTCCAGAAATTAACGTGTTCCATTTGATTTTCAAGCAAGATTTCCGGAATTTCGGTCAAATGGAAAGCGCCCAACAAGCCTCCCATTATTTGCAAGGCCTGTCACGCTGTAGCGTTCCATTTTGCCACTGGACACTCCGGAACCGCAAACTGTTTTTTTTGTTCAAATGGAAAGCGCCCTATATGTCATAGATGAAAACATTTTGAAGTTACGCACTC